ATTTTGCAGGTTAAAAAGTAGTCTTATACGCAGGAAAATAAAGTATTTTAATTCATGATATTCTGAAAGGTCGTTGCTGAGAAACTTATTTTGTAAGCTGCCCCGATTATTCTCAGAGGGGCGGGATATCAAATAAAAAGTATTATTATTATTATTATTATTATTATTATTATTATTATTATTAAACTTCTTTAAGACACGTATGCTCTGAACATTACTTTTAATATACCCTCCATTTCTAGAAGTTCTTGAGATTCAGATAGTGTATGCTATAAATCAGCAAGTCTTAAATAGATGAGTAAGAGCTATTTAGGGCCATAAGTAACCTTACTCTCATGATTTATAGTCATTAAGTGGTCACACTTACAGCAGAGTAATGCAAGAAACAATTTTATTAGCCACACACATATTCAGGCATTCTTTTCTTTGTCTCTCTTCTCTAGCATCAAATCTAAATTCTCTTTGTAAATTTCTCACTTTTTTCCTTTTATAATTGATCTACCATTGATTGCTCTCCCTTTTCACATTTGCTATTATTTCCTAATTAAATGCAGCAGCTTTAAAAGAGATTTTTAAATGCCTTTCTGCACAGTATTTTCCAGAATCCAATTTGCTCACACCATCTGGAAATCAATCAAATGTGCTTTGCATCTGAATAATTTGTCTCATTCCCTCTCCCCTGTATCCCGTATTTTGGTCTAGAGCAAACTACGTATCCTGTATCCTATATTTTGATCGGCAAACTACGGCCTGCGGGCCGAACCCGGCCCATTGAAGCCTTGTAACCGGCCTATGGCCAGTCCTGCCACCATTGCCACTGCCGCTGCTGCCACCGCCGCGCCACACACATGCGACGCAGGGTGCCATTTTGCATTCCAAAATGGCGCACTCGCTTGCACACATATGCACATGATGGCAGGCACCATTTTGGAATGCGAAAGAGCACCAGCATCGTGCGCATGTGCTCGTGACACATGGCGCTGTTTTGCATTCCAAAATGGTGCACGATGCCGGCGCTGTTTTGCGTTCTCCGGCGCCATTCCCCCCCCCCCATTTCAGCCCGCCGACGATTGGAGGACAGTGGAACCGGCCCCATCCCCAAAAGGTATGCCGACCCCTGGTCTTGAGTAAGCTGTAAAGGGACTGTTTAAATTTTAGTACACTACTTAGTTTAGTCCCTAGTCCAGTGATAGTAAATCTTTTAGTGTCCGAGTGCCCAAATTCAGTGGCATTCCCACACCTGGTGTCACCGGGTGCCGGGGCAGGACTTCTAGGGGTGGGACATTCAGGATAGGACTTTCAGAGGTGTAGCTTCTGGGGGTGGAGCTTCCAAGGGCAGGGCTTCCAGGGGGAAAACATGCAAGGAAAAATGTAGGAGCTGATCAAATAAAAGCTCAAAACAAAAACAAAACAAAAAGCCACTCATATAAATATTTAAATCCATCCTTCTCAGCCCTGCTCAAAATGGAGGACATTTTGGAATCCCTCCTGGACATGAGGTTGAAATGGAGGACAGGTCCTGAAGAAGAGGAGGACCATGTGTAGTCACCCTAAGCTAAAAACACACATATAGATATAAATCCATGTTTCTCAACCATGCTCAGCATGGGACCTTCCAGAATCCCTCCTGGACAGTTCCTGTTTCCCTTGGAGCAGCAGCAGCAGCAAAGCCTCGCATCCAGAGCTCAGGGCATGTTTGTTTCTGAGAGGGGAGAAGGACAGCAATTGTGTTCGGCATTGGACTGTTTGAGAACACAATGCAAATGTTGAATGGTGTTTTTTCCCATTAATTTCAGCATGATGGACAAATGAAAGGAATAATTTAAATGTAGACTCAGTCAAGGATTTGTGGCTAGTAAAGTACAATTTTGAGTCTGTGTCTTGCTCAGTTCTATAAGTATACTGCAAGCCTGTTCATCAGAAAAATACAGCTGAGTACATAATAAAGTGAGAATCAGCATGGTTTAATGGTTTGAGTGTTGGACTATGACTATGAAGACTTGGGTTCGATTCCCAACTCAGCCAGGAAACCCACTGGGTCACCTTGGGCAAGTCACAAAATCTCAGCCTCAAATGATGGCAATGGCAAAAATCCACTCTGAACAAGTGTTGAAAACTTGAAGGCAAAACAACAATATGTAATATATTGGATGGATTCCATTCAAGTATTGAGAAGGTTCTCTCAAACTTTTTAAGATCTATTCTTGGGTTGCCAAGCTGTGCTTCTGCAGCAGCCTTAAGACCTGAGGTAGGCATCATTAGAAGGCATGGCCTGGTTATATGCTTTCAGATATTGGACCAAAGTGGTATATTCAAACACTTCTGCTGGTTATGTATACCTTCTACTGAAAGATGCTTATACTAGTTCTTAGTTTAAAACCTTTGCTACTAAACTGCATTTATTAGGTCTGTCTATGGAGTTTCTTTATGCCCATGAGCTCAAGACATTTAATTTCATTTTAGAAAATCGGATTAAGGACACAGATCTTCAATATTCCTTATCAAATGCCAGTAAAACCTGCTCACCTCTACATTTCGGCTTGAATTTTGAATTCCCCAAAAGTACTAGGTATTTGGAAAATTTGACTATTCCAAAATATTTACAGGTTTTTTCAAGAACCAGATTTAATTGCCTATCGTCTGCAGTTTTAGATAGGCGCTATCATGGTGTGGTATATGAAAATAGACTATGCCCCTGTAATGAAGAAGAAATTGAATCTATTGAGCATGTCCTCACTACATGTATGTTTTATAGGGATGAGCATACAAAACTCCTTGGTCCTGTAATAAGCAACTTTCCTGGCAGGACTGGCACTTAAAACATCTCCTACAGGATACAAACAAATCCACTACAGAGACAGTGGTTAAGTTTCTTTTTTCTCCACAAAGAACACGTGAGTCAATTCTTTCCCTTGTTCTATAAAATTAATTTGGTTTTCAAGGTATATTCTGTAAATTTTAAATGCTTTGAACTGTTTTTATATGTGTTATGAGTTTGATTAAATATTATTAATATGCAATATAGACGTACATAAACCTGATGAACAAAATGTATATTTCTGACTGTTTTTAGCATCTATGTTGTCATGCCCTCCATTTTTCTTGAATATCCCCCATTTTGAGCATGGCTAAGCATGGATTTACATTTATAACTGGATACTTTTAGCTTTTAAGTCATGTCCTGAGCTTTTCTTGAAAGTTCTTCATTTTGACTATAACTAAGAAGCATGGATTTATATTTATAGAAGTGTTTTCAGCATTTATTTTGTAATGTTCTCCATTCTGAGCATGGCTAAGAAGCATGAATTGACAGTTCTAGGAGTGTTTTTAGCTTTTATTGATCAGGTCCTCCATTTTCCTTGAATAGTCTCCATTTTTAGCATGACTAAGAAGCATACATTTATAGGAGTGTTTTGTTAGAGTTTATTTGATCACATTTAGACTGCATCTGCACTGCAGAAATAATGCAGCTTGACACCGCTTTAACTGCCATGGCTCCATACTATGGAATCCTGGGATTTGGAGTATGTTGTGGCACCAGAGATCTCTGACAGAGAAGGTGATATATCTCACAAAACTACAAACGTCAGAATCCCATAGCAATGAGCCATGGCAGTTAAAGAAGTATCAAACTGCATTGATTCTGCAGTGTAGATGCAGCCAAAGTGGTGTTCCCTGAGCCATTAGGCTCCAGTCCCTCGTCAGATTCCAGAAAAGGCAGAGACAACTGTACTCAATGGGCACACATTTGGTGCCAGTCCTAGCACGCTGGAAACAAGTAATAATAATTGCTGTTCCCCTCAAACAAGATAAAATGATGGTTCCCTGAGCCACAGGCTGGCAGTCCCTGGTGAGCTCCAGCAAAGACCAACCAACACAACTCTAGCCAATCCACAACAACCAAGCACTAAATGCTCCACAAATTGTGGGGAAGGCAACACTCAAACACGTATCCCAATCAACATTATGATTATTCTAATACAATTATTTTGGGAGGAAGAAGGGGTCTTGAGATTTTTATATATATCAAAAAGAACTGTGTGTTAAAAAAAAAAAAGTTGAGAAATCCTGCACAAAGACATACATAGTACCCAGATATATGAAAAATAACCCACTATATCATAAATGTATCAACAGGAAACATGGATATATTTACACTAGACCATACTCAATGAATTCCTGGTAGATGTGCAATTTTAACAAAGATTTTGTAGATATAAGCTCCACTCCTTACTGACCCTCACCATTTAATAAGCACGGTCTAAAACAAAGAAATTTGTATTTGGTTTTTAATTAAGTATTACACAGCTCTTTATGAATATCACTGCCATAAAAACAAGTTCTCTGGGCTATCAGTTAACCAGAGAAAGGATGAAAGACTCCAACTCTCCATAACATGCAGTTAGATTATCCATAGCCCATGGACATTTATGGTCTCAAGCAATTCCATGCAGGACTGGGATAAAAGTAACTTCAATCACATCTGTTCTAGCCAGAAAAGTTCTTTATCTGCAATCAAACAGAATAGTCCAATGAAGCCAATGAATCACCTCTGCAATAAGTCAACTAAGTCCTCAAACATTTCCCACTGGAGAAACTATTATATCAGAAAGCACTACTAGGATTTCAACATATTTGGAAGGCAATGTATTAAGAGTTATATGCTAACCCCTGCAGTATGGGCTATAGTCATCAATTATATAGCACTAAATAGAAATTTGAGCCTGTACAGACTGTCAGAAATAATCTGGTTTGAGGCCACTTTAACTGCCCTGGCTCAGTGCTAGAGAATCATGGGAACTGCAGTTTATTGTGGCACCAGAGCTCTCTGACAGAGAAGGCTCAATAACTTCTGACTGCTTTAACTTTAGCTTGGTTAAAGACAAAGGAATGTATGGAAAGCCATTAATAAGTTGGTAACAATAAAATGTAATCTGTAAACATGCAACTGTAGCCTTAGCTTCAAACCAACAATTTTCAAAAACCAAGATCTCCTCTGAGGGATAAAAACCAAAACAATTATGGGCCTAAACAGTTGGAAAACACCCGATCCAGAATACTGGAAGCTATACAGAATCAGACCTGGTTATTACTTGGAAGAGGGACTGTCAGGAAATACCAAATGCTGTCCACTGTATTTCAGAGGAAGGCTATGGCAAAACATCTCTGAGTAACTCTTGCCTAAGAGAACCCCTATCAAATTAATGGGGCACATAAAATTATGAACTTCATAAAATGGATACTAAGCCTCCTTTAATATTTGGCATATCTTATAGAATACTCAGACTGCCATTTACTGCCTTTTTCAAGAAAATGATCAGACACACAATTATGTTTTAAGCACCAGAAGAGGTATAAATCAGCTTCCAATTAAGCATATGATAAACTGACAAGCTACAATTATATATGCCTGAATTTCAACCAAGCCCCAACAAAATTTCCCCATAGCATTCAGGAGGTAGTCTATGTGAAACTCACATTAGGGAAACACTGTCTTCCTCATCTGTTTCAGCTCTTTGATATTCCCAACCTTTATTTCCAAAGTGCCTTTAGATCTAGGTAAAGTCAGTCTGGGTACTTTTTAAAGCAGAACACTTGAGCTTTGCTCCATGCAACTATACTGTAAACATGAGACAATTATTCTAAATCCACAAATTAATGTAACTTGTTTATGTGAGCATCAAGTTATGTCCTCCTATGTTGTTATCATAATACTTTAATACTACTATATTGGCAAATCGCTTCCACATATATAGAGAGAGGGAGGGAGGAAAGGAGGGTGAGAGAGAGAGAAAGAGAACTAATTAAATAAAGCATATAATTCCTAGGCAAATGGATGCTATCAAGAAGAACATAAAGGAATCTCATCACTAGATGAGCAAAAGTGAAGCTCACTTCATTGTCTCACTTTACAAGACCTTCGATGCAAATGACTCAGTCTAAATGACCAGTTAACAACGACATAAATTGGATTTAAGCATACTGGATTCCCCAGGGTTAACTTCTATGTGTACAGTACTTGTAGAACAGAAGTATGGCAAGTGTGGCCCCTGGAGACCAATCTGTACTCCCAGAAGCCTCTTATCAGTCCCCAAGTCCCCAGTCAAAATTGGAGGTCATAAAACATTTTAAAAAAATCAAACCACTACAAAAACATGGCAGTTTGATTCCCCTAGTCCTGCATTACCTCCTGTAAAAACCTCTCAAAGCAAAAAAATACTAGAAATCAGCCACATTTCAAAGATTTTCAGAACTGGAAATGACATCATCTCACTTCTGGTCACTTAAGCTGCACCCACACTGCAGCAACAATCCAGTTTGACATTACTTTAACTGCCATGGCTCAATGTTATGGAATTCTGGGAACTGTAGATTTGTGAGACATGTAGCCTTCTGTCGGAGAGCTCTGGTGCCACAAAAAATTACACTTCCCAGGATTCCATAGCATTGAGCCACAGGAGTTAAAGTGGTGTCAAAATGGATTATTTCTGCACTGCAGATGCAGCCTTTGAGAGTGACTCATGGGATCCTCAGCTCCTCCACATTTGCCTACACATATTCTAGAATGTGGATAACTAGTGGCCAGAAAAGTGCAACATGTCCATCTATTTGGGAACTGCCTTGTTCTTCCAACAAAGCCTCTACTTTTCTGAGCCACACCAATGTTTAAGAAATTCAGATTCTGAACTAACAAAAGTTCACATGGTATAATGCCGGAAATCCCTCTCACCCCTTTTAGTGTCTTTTCTTACTTTTTAGCAGACAATAAAATGCAATTTTTAATAAAAAAAATTATACATAATATACTATACATAATACATTAAATGTAATATACCATACATAAAAAGTAAAAATATACTTTTATACTGCAGTCACTACAATGTCTATGTCTAATGTTATTTTGATTTAGTAAATCACTCCTCCTTCAAGATAGAAAGAAAGCTAATACACAATGCCATGGACAGTTAGGGATACAACAGGGTAAAACACAGAAATTTTATAAATGTGTACATCTGCATTTTTGT